AATTTTATAACAGCTTTATCATCGTTGCAATGAGTTGTGACCAGGACATGCTGCCTCTTTTTAATTTTGTAAATAATAATAATAATAATATATTTACATACTTCTCAAATCAAGAAAGGTTCTGGCGCACCGGATTTTTTCATAGTACAATAGTAAATCGGTCATAGTTAATATTGCTGAGTGCGGCGTTAAACGACAAACAAAGAAAGAAACGAACAAACAAAAGACATATAGGACGCTATGACCACTGTCGAGTATTCATGCATCGCATTGTGTACCGTGTTGACTAGACTAACATCAAGTCTCTGAAATGAAAATATTTTACAGAAAATAACAGTTGTTAATTTGTAGTTATAAAGTATTTAAAGGAGCCCAGAGCTTTCTTCATTTTCTGCAGTTACCTAGGCTTCCCAGACTTGCATGGGCTGTATTGGATATATTTGTTTCAGGGTATGTACGACAGACTACGTGTAGACATGTAGATCTTCAAGTTACTTACCTTGTCCATCATTTAAGGTGTTTACCTGTTGTGTGTTGACTGAAAAAGTCCTTCAGTTCCAGGTCGCTCTCACCAGAAATAGAACCCATGTACAGTTCTGGAATGGGTGAGTGAGTGAGTTTGGTTTAACGCCGCTTTTAATAGTATTCCAGTTATATCACGGCGTGTCAGCTTAATGTGGGAGGAAAGCCCGAAGTGATGCAGGTCTCAGACGTTTACGTCGGTGAAACCCACGAGCACGGGTATGGTGCTGACAAACCTATAAACATAATCGGGGCGAACCGGGATTGGAATCCACAAGCATAGGTTTCTGGCCTGTCCAAGGGACGCAACTCTGCATAGCGAATCGCGGCGCCTTAGACGACTGGGCCACCCGTGCCCCTTTCTGGAATGAAGGCATGATGCTGAAGTTGATTATTTTTATTTTTTTTGTCGTTGTTGTTCTGTGTCAAATTTAATATAGCGGTTAAATCTACAGGTAACCAGCCAGCTCTAGATTAGAACGGTACGTCTCTTTCGTAATTACATTCATATTATAATTGTTTATTCACGATGAGAGCTATAGGTTCCTGGCACGCCTAAGGGAAGCAACTCAGCGTGTCAGGTTATGCTGGTGGCAAAGAGACACAAAGCCAAGAAAACAAGCACGGTGGTGACAGATAAAGTACCATTATCGGGATGAATCAAACACGTGACGTGTGCAAGTTCGGGTTTAAAATTTGTACCCAGTTTAGAGAACGAACTCAAGCTTGTCTAACAGACGCCACTAACGCATAACCAAATACACAGGGTGGGCAGATAAACAACAAGTTCCTGTGAAGGAAATGGCTTCTGTAGCCAACGTTGTTGTTGCCTTGAGGAGTTGTCGTCTCAGAAGTCTTCCTGGTCCTGACTAGGGCGGACGCTGATGCCGACCATGTTGATCCGGAGCCGAGTCTAGACTGGGCCGGGCCCGCGGTCGCGCTCCTCCAAGTATATAATCAATACACCCCGTGCAATTCCTGTCTAGACTCAAGGCAATTTCACGTAAACTTTTACATTAGACACAGATTAAGACAGTATTTGCCCCGCCAATAGAAAACTGACTGGTACAATGATCCGTCAGTGTCGTCTGCCCATCACTCGTAGACAAATTTCGCTCGCAACCCGCACGTTTGTATTCGTCAATAGAGTACTTTCGTCAATATGTGCTAACGTTAATGTAGAGCTAGACACTCGATGATTTAATATGAAAACTTTTTTTCTCGAGAGAGTGTATGAACATGATGAATGTGATTATGAGGACCAGGGAATGGTAGTCGCAGACTTGAATGTGATTTATTATAGAACGACAGCATATAGCTTATGTCTATTTATGACAGTTGAGTGGAAAAGTTTGTGAAGCAGGAAGTTTGAGCAATGTATAAATGATGTCATTTTTATTAAGCAAGTGCAAATGTACTTGAACTGACCTTGGTTGAAAAGGCGGTTTTGAAAAGGGTCAACTGATATAAATTGGATGTAAAAACTACACAATTTAAATGTAATACTTGAGAGAAAGGATGAGACGTCAGATGAAGAGGTGGGTTAGGATGATGTCGGGTAAGTATGTGGGTGTTGGCTAGGATTTGGACGAAGAAGGGCGTAAGGGTCAGACGTGTTTTATTGGTGTTGGGTATGAGATCGTAGGATGCCTTTTGCTGGTGTTGGTGTGAGAGTGAACGTGGGATGGCCTTTGCTGGTGTTGGGTGTGAGATCGTAGGATGCCTTTTGCTGGTGTTGGTGTGAGAGTGGTTTTGGGATGCCCTTTGCTGGTGTTGGGTGTGAGATCGTGGGATGGTCTTTGTTGGGGTTGGGTGTGAGAGTGAACGTGGGATGCCCTTTGCTGGTGTTGGGTGTAAGATCGTGGGATGGTCTTTGCTGGTGTTGGTGTGAGAGTGAACGTGGGATGGTCTTTGCTGGTTTTGGGTGTGAGATCGTGGGATGGCCTTTGCTGGTGTTGGGTGTGAGATCGTGTGATGGTCATTGCTGGTGTTGGATGTAAGAGTGAATGTAAGATGCCCTTTGCTGGTGTTGGGTGTGGGATCGTGGGCTGCCCTTTGCTGGTGTTGGGTGTGAGATCGTGGGATGGTTTTTGCTGGTGTTGGGTGTGAGGGTGAATGTAAGATGCCCTTTGCTGGTGTTGGGTGTGAGATCGTGGGCTTCCCTTTGCTGGTGTTGGGTGTGAGATCGTTGGATGGTCTTTGCTGGTGTTGGTGTGAGAGTGAACGTGGGATGGCCTTTGCTGGTGTTGGGTGTGAGGGTGAATGTAAGATGCCCTTTGCTGGTGTTGGGTGTGAGATCGTGGGATGGTCTTTGCTGGTGTTGGTGTGAGAGTGAACGTGGGATGGCCTTTGCTGGTGTATGGTGTGAGGGTGAATGTAAGATGCCTTTTGCTGGTGTTGGGTGTGAGGGTGAATGTAAGATACCTTTTGCTGGTGCGGGGTGTGAGAGTGAACGTGGGATGCCCTTTGCTGGTGTTTGTGTGAGAGTGAACGTGGGATGGCCTTTGCTGGTGTTGGGTGTGAGGGTGAATATAAGATTACCTTTGCTGGTGTTGGTGTGAGGGTGAATGTAAGATACCTTTTGCTGGTGTTGGTGTGAGAGTGAACGTGGGATGCCTTTTGCCGGTGTTGGGTGTGAGGGTGAATGTAAGATACCTTTTGCTGGTGTTGGTGTGAGAGTGAACGTGGGATGGCCTTTGCTGGTGTTGGGTGTGACGGTGCATGTAAGATGCCCTTTGCTGGTGTTGGTGGGAGAGTGAACGTGGGATGGCCTTTGCTGGTGTTGGGTGTGACGGTGCATGTAAGATGCCCTTTGCTGGTGTTGGTGTGAGAGTGAACGTGGGATGCCCTTTGCTGGTGATGGGTGTGAGAGTGAACGTCGGATGGCCTTTGCTGGTGTTGGTGTGAGAGTGAACGTGGGATGGCGTTTGCTTGTGTTGGGTGTGAGGGTGAACGTGGGATGGCCTTTGCTGGTGATGGGTGTGAGAGTGAACGTGGTATGCCCTTTGCTGGTGTTGGGTGTGAGGGTGAATGTACGATGCCCTTTGCTGGTGTTGGGTGTGAGATCGTTGGCTGCCCTTTGCTGGTGTTGGTGTGAGAGTGAACGTGGGATGCCCTTTGCTGGTGTTGGGTGTGAGGGGGAACGTGGGATGGCCTTTGCTGGTGTTGGGTGTGAGGGTGAATGTAAGATGCCTTTTGCTGGTGTTGGGTGTGAGGGTGAATGTAAGATACCTTTTGCTGGTGCGGGGTGTGAGAGTGAACGTGGGATGCCCTTTGCTGGTGTTTGTGTGAGAGTGAACGTGGGATGGCCTTTGCTGGTGTTGGTGTGAGAGTGAACGTGGGATGCCCTTTGCTGGTGTTTGTGTGAGAGTGAACGTGGGATGGCCTTTGCTGGTGTTTGTGTGAGAGTGAACGTGGGATGCCCTTTGCTGGTGTTGGTGTGAGGGTGAATGTAAGATGCCCTTTGCTGGTGTTGGGTGTGAGATCGTGGGATGGTCTTTGCTGGTGTTGGTGTGAGAGTGAACGTGGGATGGCCTTTGCTGGTGTATGGTGTGAGGGTGAATGTAAGATGCCTTTTGCTGGTGTTGGGTGTGAGGGTGAATGTAAGATACCTTTTGCTGGTGCGGGGTGTGAGAGTGAACGTGGGATGCCCTTTGCTGGTGTTTGTGTGAGAGTGAACGTGGGATGCCCTTTGCTGGTGTTGGGTGTGAGGGTGAATATAAGATTACCTCTGCTGGTGTTGGTGTGAGGGTGAATGTAAGATACCTTTTGCTGGTGTTGGTGTGAGAGTGAACGTGGGATGCCTTTTGCCGGTGTTGGGTGTGAGGGTGAATGTAAGATACCTTTTGCTGGTGTTGGTGTGAGAGTGAACGTGGGATGGCCTTTGCTGGTGTTGGGTGTGACGGTGCATGTAAGATGCCCTTTGCTGGTGTTGGTGGGAGAGTGAACGTGGGATGGCCTTTGCTGGTGTTGGGTGTGACGGTGCATGTAAGATGCCCTTTGCTGGTGTTGGTGTGAGAGTGAACGTGGGATGCCCTTTGCTGGTGATGGGTGTGAGAGTGAACGTCGGATGGCCTTTGCTGGTGTTGGTGTGAGAGTGAACGTGGGATAGCGTTTGCTTGTGTTGGGTGTGAGGGTGAACGTGGGATGGCCTTTGCTGGTGATGGGTGTGAGAGTGAACGTGGTATGCCCTTTGCTGGTGTTGGGTGTGAGGGTGAATGTACGATGCCCTTTGCTGGTGTTGGGTGTGAGATCGTTGGCTGCCCTTTGCTGGTGTTGGTGTGAGAGTGAACGTGGGATGCCCTTTGCTGGTGTTGGGTGTGAGGGGGAACGTGGTATGCCCTTTGCTGGTGTTGGGTGTGAGGGTGAATGTAAGATGCCTTTTGCTGGTGTTGGGTGTGAGGGTGAATGTAAGATACCTTTTGCTGGTGCGGGGTGTGAGAGTGAACGTGGGATGCCCTTTGCTGGTGTTTGTGTGAGAGTGAACGTGGGATGGCCTTTGCTGGTGTTGGTGTGAGAGTGAACGTGGGATGGCCTTTGCTGGTGTTGGTGTGAGAGTGAACGTGGGATGCCCTTTGCTGGTGTTTGTGTGAGAGTGAACGTGGGATGGCCTTTGCTGGTGTTTGTGTGAGAGTGAACGTGGGATGCCCTTTGCTGGTGTTGGTGTGAGGGTGAACGTGGGATGCCCTTTGCTGGTGTTGGTGTGAGGGTGAATGTAAGATACCTTTTGCTGGTGTTGGTGTGAGAGTGAACGTGGGATGGCCTTTGCTGGTGTTGGGTGTGAGGGTGAATATAAGATCACCTTTGCTGGTGTTGGTGTGAGGGTGAATGTAAGATACCTTTTGCTGGTGTTGGTGTGAGAGTGAACGTGGGATGGCCTTTGCTGGTGTTGGGTGTGAGGGTGAATATAAGATGACCTTTGCTGGTGTTGGGTGTGACGGTGCATGTAAGATGCCCTTTGCTGGTGTTGGTGTGAGAGTGAACGTGGAATGCCTTTTGCCGGTGTTGGGTGTGAGGGTGAATGTAAGATACCTTTTGCTGGTGTTGGTGTGAGAGTGAACGTGGGATGGCCTTTGCTGGTGTTGGGTGTGACGGTGCATGTAAGATGCCCTTTGCTGGTGTTGGTGTGAGAGTGAACGTGGGATGCCCTTTGCCGGTGTTGGGTGTGAGGGTGAATGTAAGATACCTTTTGCTGATGTTGGTGTGAGAGTGAACGTGGGATGGCCTTTGCTGGTGTTTGGTGTGAGGGTGAATATAAGATGACCTTTGCTGGTGTTGGGTGTGACGGTGCATGTAAGATGCCCTTTGCTGGTGTTGGTGTGAGAGTGAACGTGGGATGGCCTTTGCTGGTGTTGGGTGTGACGGTGCATGTAAGATGCCCTTTGCTGGTGTTGGTGTGAGAGTGAACGTGGGATGCCCTTTGCTGTTGATGGGTGTGAGAGTGAACGTCGGATGGCCTTTGCTGGTGTTGGTGTGAGAGTGAACGTGGGATGGCGTTTGCTTGTGTTGGGTGTGAGGGTGAACGTGGGATGCCCTTTGCTGGTGATGGGTGTGAGAGTGAACGTGGTATGCCCTTTGCTGGTGTTGGGTGTGAGGTAGAATGTACGATGCCCTTTCCTGGTGTTGGGTGTGAGATCGTTGGCTGCCCTTTGCTGGTGTTGGGTGTGAGAGTGAACGTGGGATGCCCTTTGCCGGTGTTGGGTGTGAGGGGGAACGTGGGATGCCCTTTGCTGGTGTTGGGTGTGAGGGTGAATGTAAGATGCCTTTTGCTGGTGTTGGTGTGAAAGTGAACGTGGGATGGCCTTTCCTGGTGTTGGGTGTAAGAGTGAACGTGGGATGGCCTTTGCTGGTGTTGGGTGTGAGATCGTAGGATGCCTTTTGCTGGTGTTGGTGTGAGAGTGGTCTTTGGATGCCCTTTGCTGGTGTTGGGTGTGAGATCGTGGGATGGTCTTTGCTGGTGTTGGGTGTGAGAGTGAATGTGAGATGGTCTTTGCTGGTGTTGGTGTGAGAGTGAACGTAGGATGGTCTTTGCTGGTGTTGGGTATGAGATCGTGGCATGGTCATTGCTGGTGTTCGGTGTAAGAGTGAATGTAAGATGCCCTTTGCTGGTGTTTGGTGTGGGATCGTGGGCTGCCCTTTGCTGGTGTTGGGTGTGAGATCGTTGGATGGTCTTTGCTGGTGTTGGGTGTGAGATCGTGGGATGGTCTTTGCTGGTGTTGGTGTGAGAGTGAACGTGGGATGGCCTTTGCTGGTGTTGGGTGTGAGGGTGAATGTAAGATGCCTTTTGCTGGTGTTGGTGTGAGAGTGAACGTGGGATGCCCTTTGCTGGTGTTTGTGTGAGAGTGAACGTGGGATGGTCTTTGCTGGTGTTGGGTGTGAGGGTGAATATAAGATGCCCTTTGCTGGTGTTGGCGTGAGAGTGAACGTGGGATGGCCTTTGCTGGTGTTGGGTGTGAGGGTAAATGTAGGATGCCCTTTGCTGGTGTTGGTGTGAGAGAAAACGTGGGATGCCCTTTGCTGGTGATTGGTGTGAGAGTGAACGTGGGCTGCCCTTTGCTGGTGTTGGGTGTGTGGGTGAATGTAAGATGCCCTTTGCTGGTGTTGGTGTGAGAGTGAACGTGGGATGCCCTTTGCTGGTGATTGGTGTGAGAGTGAACGTGGGCTGCCTTTTGCCGGTGTTGGGTGTGTGGGTGAATGTAAGATGCCTTTTGCTGGTGTTGGTGAGAGAGTGAACGTGGGATGGCCTTTGCTGGTGTTGGTGTGAGGGTGAAAGTAAGACCTTTGCTGGTGTTGGTGTGAGATCGTGGGATGATCTTTGCTGGTGTTGGTGTGAGATCGTGGGATGACCTTTGCTGGTGTTGGGTGTGAGAGTGAATGTAAGATGCCCTTTGCTGGTGTTGGGTGTGAGGGTGAATGTAAGATGACCTTTGCTGGTATTTGGTGTGAGGGTGCATGTAAGATGACCTTTCCTGGTGTCGGGTGTGAGAGTGATCGTTGGATGACCTTTGCTGGTGTTAGTGTGAGAGTAAATGTGACATGACCTTTCCTGGTGTTGGTGTAAGAGTGTATGTAAGATTGCCTTTGCTGGTGTTGGGTGTGAGAGTGAATGTAAGATGGCCTTTGCTGATGTGTGATAGTGAATGTAAGATGCCCTTTGCTGGTGTTGGGTGTGAGGGTGAATGTAAGATGCCCTTTGCTGGTGTTGGGTGTGAGGGTGAATGTAAGATGACCTTCGCTGGTGTTCGGTGTGAGTGTGAATGTAAGGTGCCCTTTGCTGGTGTTAGTGTGAGAGTAAATGTGACATGACCTTTCCTGGTGTTGGTGTAAGAGTGTATGTAAGATTGCCTTTGCTGGTGTTGGGTGTGAGAGTAAATGTAAGATGACCTTTGCTTGTGTTCGTGTGAGAGTGAATGTAAGATGCGCTTTGCTGGTGTTGGGTGTGAGAGTGAATGAAACACGACCTTTCCTGGTGTTGGCATGAGAGTGAATGAAAGACGACCTTTGCTGGTTTCGGTGTGAGAGTGAAAGTTAGATGACCTTTGCTAGTGTTAGGTGTGAGTGCGTGGTGCCTTTGGCTGGTGTTGGGTGTGAGGGTGAACTTGAGATGCCCTTTCCTGATGTTGAGTGTGATGCTTTGATGCCCTTCCTGGTGTATGGTGTGAGGCTGAGAGTGAGCTGCCTTCAGCTGTGTGAGGGTGTGAGAGTGAGCTGCCTTTTGCTGGTGTGAGGGTGTGGTGCCTTTAGATGATGTGAGGGTGTGGTGTTATGGGTGAGGAATAAGGTGGATGTTGTGTTGATGATAAGGAGGTTGCGCGATGTGAGGGTGAAGGCTGTTTTGCGATGAAGGTGGCGGGGACAAGTTTGAGGGTCATAGGAAAGTGCGTTATCCTTCACTCATTCCTGCACTGACATCTTCACTCACTCACCGCCATCCCAAAGCCGCGCCATTTGTTATCCTTGAACTATCAGCACCAGACGTGGGCCACTTCCAACTATCCCCCGACAATAGCCGTGATTAACTGTGATAAGCAGCGTTAAACCCATCCCAGCTCTCCACTCATTTCTGTCCAGAGTATTATTCTAATGTGTATGCGTCTCCCCGAGATATCACATTTGATACAGAAACCGTTTTAATTTATGTGAATAGCGAGTTCCGGATTAAAAATCTCCCACAAATCCACACTTACAGTCCCCGGATACTTATGATTCCTATCTCTTTCCTTTCCCAGCTCTAGCTGCCTATACTCATCCCTTTCCCATCTCTAGTTGCCTATACTCATCCCTTTCCCAGCTCTAGCTGCCTATACTCATCCCTTTCCCAGCTCTAGCTGCCTATACTCATCCCTTTCCCAGGTCTAGCTGCCTATACTCATCCCTTTCTCAGGTCTAGCTGCCTATACTCATCCCTTTCCCAGCTCTAGGTGCCTATACTCATCCCTCTCCCAGCTCTAGCTGCCTATACTTATCCCTTTCCAAGCTCTAGTTGCCTGTACCCATCCCTTTCTCAGGTCTAGCTGCCTATACTCATCCCTTTCCCAGCTCTAGCTGCCTATACTCATCCCTTTCCCAGGTCTAGCTGCCTATACTCATCCCTTTCTCAGGTCTAGCTGCCTATACTCATCCCTTTCCCAGCTCTAGGTGCCTATACTCATCCCTCTCCCAGCTCTAGCTGCCTATACTTATCCCTTTCCAAGCTCTAGTTGCCTGTACCCATCCCTTTCTCAGGTCTAGCTGCCTATACTCATCCCTTTCCCAGCTCTAGCTGCCTATACTCATCCCTTTCCCAGCTCTAGCTGCCTGTACTCATCCCTTTCCCAGCTCTAGCTGCCTATACTCATCCCTTTCCCAGCTCTAGCTGCCTATACTCATCCCTTTCCCAGGTCTAGCTGCCTATACTCATCCCTTTCTCAGGTCTAGCTGCCTATACTCATCCCTTTCCCAGCTCTAGGTGCCTATACTCACCCCTCTCCCAGCTCTAGCTGCCTATACTTATCCCTTTCTCAGCTCTAGTTGCCTGTACCCATCCCTTTCTCAGGTCTAGCTGCCTATACTCATCCCTTTCCCAGCTCTAGCTGCCTGTACTCATCCCTTTCCCAGGTCTAGCTGCCTATACTCATCCCTTTCCCAGCTCTAGCTGCCTATGCTCATCCCTTTCCCAGGTCTAGCTGCCTATACTCATCCCTTTCCCAGGTCTAGCTGCCTATACTCATCCCTTTCACAGCTCTAGCTGCCTGTACTCATCCCTTTCCCAGCTCTAGCTGCCTATACTCATCCCTTTCCCAGCTCTAGCTGCCTATACTCATCCCTTTCCCAGCTCTAGCTGCCTGTACTCATCCCTTTCCCAGCTCTAGCTGCCTGTACTCATCCCTTTCCCAGCTCTAGCTGCCTGTACTCATCCCTTTCCCAGCTCTAGCTGCCTGTACTCATCCCTTTCTCGGCTCCAGCGGCCTATAGGGGTGGCGGGGCTACCTCACTGAAAGCCGAAGGCACGCGTTCGATCCTCTGTATGGGTACAATTATTGTGAAGCCCATTTTCTGCTGTCCCCAATATTACTAAAAGCGGCGTAAAAGCTCACTCACTCACTCACTCACTCACTCACTCACTCACTCACTCACTCACTCACTCACTCTACCGGCATATATGCAATTTTAAAAGACAAGACATTATGATTCATATATACATATATACAGACATATATAATTTACATTCCTGTAGACACATACAAAAACAAAACAATCAATATTACATATTTGATGATATTATTATACATAAAATGTCAACGGTTGATTATGAAGGGGTATTTATTGTTTGAAATGATATATATGGAAACAAATGCAGTTGATATTGACTGGTTCATCATTTGACAGGATGTAGTGAAATAATTTGTCTTCATGACTGAGGACATTTACATTTACATTTTATCTGGATAATTTTCCAAAGAGTATATTTCTTTCTTGAGTGTGTTTAATACAGTGAAGTCTGTAGTGGTTTTCGTCATCAATGGTTGAACATGTAGAGCATAGACTCTGATGTAGTGGGGTTGGTGGCTTTGTGTGTCTTCCAAGTTCAATATTTAATTTATGGTTACTTAATCTTTGTTTAGAAAAGTGCACTCGATATTTTCTTACTTTACAGTGACTGAGATAGGGTTCTAATTTTATTTCATTTTTAACTATCCTGTATGTCCTAAGTTTGTTTCCTGTGCCTCTTGTTGCATTTGCATCTTGAAGAGATTCCTTGAAGAGGGAGTTGAATTTAGATTATATTGTCTCTTTGAATATTGGTGATAGGAAATCTGAAGTACTCAAATTGTGTTGTATTACACGTACTTAGCTTAACCACTGTAACAAAGTATATATGTTCAGTTTAAGGAGTTCGCGTTAACAAGGGGTCCATATATACGTGTTGTTTTCATGTGATTATGTTCGTCATTGTCTAAGAGTACATGTATTATTGTCTTGTGGTACCTCTGAGTTTAAATAAGAACAGTTCCACAGTCCGACTCAAAACAAGCCTTGGCAATTATAGATTTACCACTGTTATGTCCCCACGGTCACGTGCATTCTTAAGATAACCCACGTGGTGGTTTTGTCCAGATTTTTTCTGACATGACATGTTTGTGCAAATTACATCATCCCAACTGCGAATTTACATCGCTCGCCAATGCGCTTGTTATTGAAAAACAATGCTGTCATTGGTGGAAATTTCGGTCACGTTATTGTTGATTGGTTACACGACATGGCTGTCATGTCTGTTTACAGTGCACTGTTTCCGTATCTTAAGGGAGGGGTGCCCATCCCTAGTAAACTCCGCACGGATACGTCAGATGCCTAACAGTAATTCATTGTATATCATAGCCGTGTTGACATCAGCTGCATGTGGTGTGCGGAGTTTGAAAATAAATCAATGTTGCAACAGACAGCGGAGAAACGAGGTTAAGCGGACGCATGGGAAATATTTCAAGGTCACGCGCAGCCCCCTGGTCAAGTTGGGGCATGTGTGAATCATCATGGGAACAGCACAGTAGTTTTCATGTACATGTCTATATTTGACGAGAACGTATCCTTTGGGTTTGTATCAAGAATTCAGACACATTTAAACGTTTAGACGGGGTTTTTTTCCCAATCTCTGGTTAAGGCTCGTTGTCTTGTTTACTGATTTCATTCATTGGGTGACGTGTTTATGCCATGCCGTAAAATGTTTGCGTGTAGGGCGGAAATAAACAGCACCTTGTGCTCAGCTGTGTAGTTTTATACCGCAGCTAAGGGACTGGTCATTTGCTATGGAGGGAGGGGTATTTTTGTTTATTATTTATTTATTTTTATATATATTTTTATTTATTTTCTTATTTTATTTATTTATTTATTTTATCTTATTTTTTTTTTTTTTTATTTATTTATTTTTTTTTATTATTTATTTTTATTTTTATTTTATTTATTTATTTTTTTTTTTGGGGGGGGGGGGGGTATGGGGCTGTGTATTTTGTCATGACCCCCCTCCCCCATCCCACATAGCTGTGGCTTATTTGCCGATCCCCTACCCCCTCTTTCGCAGTGTCACTATTTCATGACACATCCTAATCTCAGCGCCACCCAACCCCTCCCAAATAATAAAAGGCCAGTCCCTAACGAGGAGTGTGTAACGACATTCCACGTTAAATCTTTACTACTTTTGTGACTTATCAATACAATATCTACACTAAGTGTACGCTGCCAGCCACCTTATGATATATATAAATGTTATATACTGTGTATGAAAATAATATGTAATATCTCTTTATATAATGTACATTATGCACATCTACCTTCCACGTCTATAGCTTTATTTATTCCCATATGTAGATAGTTTGTACCCTACCCTACGAGGGTGTTCTGTACGATAAAAAACTTGATTCTTGATTCTATGAATAACTCTGTTGTTCCTTAACTTCTTTTGAGTAGTATATATGTCATCATTCATCATTAACAGTCGTGATTATTTTGAGAAAAGATAGTCAAACATTGTTCGTATCGTTGACGAATGGATTTAAAACGCGCCTTTTCGTATTGTCTGACAAAGGAAATAATTAACCCAATTTAGACTGTCTTCCATAGACCGTTATTTCAGTTGATGTTTTGTTGAAATGTCACTTGTGTAGACGAGTATGGAAACATGGTTTTCGAGTGATTCATATTTCGGTAAATCCTGACTTATGCAATTCGTTTACAGCGTCTCGCTACTGGTCCGACAGTACAACGCAAATGTCTGCATCGATTATCTCGTACACTATCAGTCGCCGTCAACATCGTCTACTACATCCCATGGGGACCGCCTCCGTGGGTTAGTGTATAGAGCATCTTCTCGGACAGCGGGAGGTCGGTGGCTCGATCCCCTGGCCGCGCCATACCAAACGACGTTAGAAGATGGTATTTGTTGTTACCCTGCCTGGCGCCCGGCAGTAATGTGATAAAACAAGGACTGGTCCGCTCAGAGTCGGTAAAATGTGTGTGAGTGGGGTATCCATGTTTAACTGCAGCATATATATGGTTTGTTTGTTGTTTAACGCCGCATTCAGCAATATTCCAACTATGTGAAGGCGGTCTGTAAATAATCGAGTCTGGACCAGACAATCCAGTGATTGACACCATGAGCATCGATCCACGATGACATGCATCAACCAAGTCAGCGGGCCTGACCACCCGATCTCGTTAGTCGCCTCTTACGACAAGCATAGTCGCCTTTTACGGCAAGCATGGGTTGCTGAAGACCTATTCTACCCCGGATCTTCACGGGTCTCTTCCCTCATGCTTGTCATATGTTTTGATGACCCTCCCCATGTACTTTTGTGATGACCCTCCTTGAAAAGACAAAATGCATAAGCACTCAATATTTTATTTTGAACAGTCCATTTTTTCATGAACCGCCATATTTTTGCATGTCCAGTCAATACCT